TATTCTTCGTAGTTTGATTTTTTTTAAAAAGTACTTTAAACTGTATAAATAATGTAAAATTAAATAGACTTAAACAGTCCCCAAAAGGTTGGTGAAGGAGATTACGCACAACCACTGTGTACACAGTACGTATTCTGCAGTGTCGGCATTGGATTACAATCACTAAAAAAATGATTTACGTAATATGTAGCTAGAAGAGAGCCAATAAATGGCCTATCCCTATTGAGGGTCATCCTGGATGATTCTAAAAGTTCCACAAATGTGTTGTTTTCAGATATTTGACAGTATTACAAGCGTATTTTATAGTCATGTTACATATTTTCTGAATTGAGACGCGTTCTTTAAACAATGTGTAAATCATGCGACTTATGTGTTACAATGTTTCTTTAAAAAAAAAAAAAAAGAAGCATTAGTCACGATGTACTGCAGTTCGCAATTGATGTTTAAGGATCGCGTTTTGATCTTATTTACCATATATTTCTGAGAATAGGCACTCCTACTTTTTTTTAAACTCAGACACAATTGATGTTTAAGGATCGCGTTTTGATCTTATTTACCATATATTTCCGTGAATAGGCACTCCTACTTTTTTTTAAACTCAGATTAAACAAAATATTTTTAGCCAAGTTATTCCCGTTTGAAACGTTAATGGAGTAACATACCCCCAACAAAGTGGGGTAGGTTTTAAAATAAGTCTAGCACTAAGCTTTAAGGGTTGGAGAAGATATGGAATAGAAACCTAATTTAATGAGTTATTAACAATCCTAAATTTGAGGTTTAAAAAGGCAAGGTAGAAGGAGTTGTATTAATTTTCGAAAGTATATAGTATAAGATCAGCGAAGATTAACAGCAGAGACAGTGCCCGATCCAGAGTGAATCCCTCTCTCTTGTGATCAAATCACAAATTAAATTATTTATATTGGATTCAATTGTGATGGATATAATCCCTCACCAGTTTTAATATATGGTCTCTGCTGTTGCGAAGATTTTATTATAGATTTTGTGTGTCGTTCAGAAGTACCAGAAGTACTGGACACTTAACAAATTTAGTGTCCAGACTTATGCGATTTCGGAGATTTTTCATTGTTTAAATAAGTTATTGATAAACTATATTTAGAAATAATTGTCAGGTATATAGCGATAGTGGTAATTGGATTTGATGTTAGGCGATAAAATCGATTTAGTCGACTAAATCAGTTAACTTTTTAGAAAATTAATTTAGTCGACTAAATCAGTTAACTTTTTAGAAAATTAATTTAGTCGACTAAATCAGTTAACTTTTTAAAAAATTAATTTAGTGACTAAATCAGTTAACTTTTTAAAAAATTAATTTAGTCGATTAAATCAGTTAACTTTTTAAAAAATTAATTTAGTCGATTAAATCAGTTAACTTTGTAGAAAATTGATTTAGTCAACTCAAGGAGGATAGATTGATACGTATTCTGGAAAACTAGACAATCAGATCATTTAAATGAAAGTGTGGATACTTGGTAAAATTCGAATACATATTTTTAGGCCAAGAAAAGTTAATTTTTTGTTCTCATAACCCGGCCGGCTAACTTATAGCAGTTTTTCATAAATTCAGGGACACCTGTTTAAAAATTAGCCGAATGATTTTTCAGGATAAGGTTAATTTATTGATTCGTCATGATCGGCGTATGTTTTTACATTTAACGTAATTTTATTATAATGTTTGACGCATTCAGCATTATTAGCTTCAAATATGAATTAGACTTTATAATAAACACGAATTGACGCTAATATTAAAAAAGTAGTACTAAAATTTAATCGTACGTATGATGACTTTTTTTAATGGTTAGGATATTGTTCTTTTTTTCATGTTAGAGAAGTAACTTGGATTTAACGAATTTTTTCTTTTATAAACCGTACTTATAATCTTGATTTCTATATGTCCGTCCTAATTTACCGTACTACTTTACTAGATACCTTAATCAAGAATTTGTCGACTGGTTTGAAATGTAATTCAAAAAAATCCAAATTTAATGTGTTTCATATCTTTGAAAATGTTTAAACTCGACTTGTAGAAGATCTGCTAACATCTAAGTGTTTACGTACTAGTCTTATAATATTTATATCAATACCGGATCTTAAGTTATATATATCAGTTCGAATCAATTATGCCAAAATTAATCGAATCGCCGAAAAAATTATTTATCAGAATTTATAAAAACAGCTATTACAATCTGGATGGTTTTTAAAAAAAAATCAAAAAAATTTTTATATGTAATTTGTTGAAAACATTTTATGAGAACCAAAAATTAACTTTATATGGCCTTTTTAAATATCAACCTGGTCGAGACGATAAATTTAAGTCTGCTACAAACATGATCATGTGTTTGTAGTTGGCCTAAATTTATTGATTCGAATAATATATATTTAAAAATTAGCTTAGTCTACTAAGTTGATTGTCCGTAGTATATTGTATTCGAATTTTACCAGATATCCACACTTGCCATTTGAATTATTTGATTGTCTAGTTCTCCGAAATATTATGACTTTTTTTTCTATTTACCTAATTACAGAATTAAATTGATTAAGCCAAGTTTCTAAAAACATCATTAAAGTCAACTTATTTGTTAACTTACTGTATGATTTTTCGGAAGCCATTTTTCGAAAAGAACTTAAACAGCCTGCATTATAGTTAACATCAACTAACTTTTCTTTCTCAAAGCGAAATTTCTCGCAGTATCGAAAATGTTTTTAGAGTTTGAACCGATTTTATTTTTATTTAAAGCGATCATTCTCATTGGTAATAATGTTGATGCATTTTTTTTTATGATCCACGACTTCTCAAATGTTCACCCGTGAATATTTCTAATATTTCCATATAATGACGAAATGTTACTAGGTAGATCAGTGAAATATATCAAACCATCATGCGATTACCACGGCTTCTCCGTGATAATTCACGATATTCACAGTAGTCTGTGAAATATTCATTACATATTTGCTTAGTGTTAAATAAGTAATAATAATGAACTTTTCCCAATTAACCTTAAAAAAAAAAAAACTATTATATGATGACAAATTCGGATTATGTATGACACTCATGTGGTGTTAATTTTTTTACTTTTTTGTTATGGGTTATTTGTTTACAATAGTAATAATGAAAAAAAATTTTAAACAATCCATGTAAACATTACACAAGAAAATCATCCGGTACAATTGATAAAAAGTGCCTACATCGGAAAACTTTTGATATGTCAAATATTCGTAGAAATTTTTTATGATTATAAATTTTTTTTATAACTTTTATGTTTTTTTTTCTACGATATTTGAACGAATTTTAATTATTAATCAACCGTTCACTCTTTTTGAATATATGTAATACTCAATATTATTTCATAAAATCTAATTAAATATGGGAAGAGCGTCTTCAAAAGCTCATTCCACTGATGACAAAAAGGAAGTTGACTATTATCAATCACTTAATATCGACTTTGACCAACTTGACGGTGCAAGAGAACGTTTAAGTTTACAACATGATATTTTAAGAGAAATTTATCATGGAAATTTTTCTTCACCCATAAGTAATTTGTTACAAACTGGTGGTGCCAGGATTTTAAATATTGGGTATGTAAAATAAATAAATAAATATGCATGAATGATTGAAAAAGGTTGCATTTGTATTTGTAACTCAAAACGAATATTGGTCTAACTTATGGATAGAAAGATTGGTTTAAAGCATATCCTTCATATCCTTTCAAGGAACAAAAAAAATCATTTCTTCAAAAGTTTTTGAATTTATGTTTCACTTAAAAGCGATTGAATAAATATGTCTTGCTGTTTTCGATTTATTTGGATTAAAGATGTATGTATCCTGGGTAATACGAAATCATCTGATCGAGAATCATTCGAATCATTCTGAGAACTATTATAATGTGCAGGATATAAAATTTCGAAATTCGATTAAATTAAAAACAGCAAAAACTATTATTAGATTTATTTTAAGTAATTCCTTTTAAAATATTTGTACTTCTACCAATCCTGGAATTATTGTATTACTTTTAATAATTTCAATTGCTTTGGTGAAATGTAATTTATTAATTATTAATTATTAAAATTATTAATTATTAAAATTATTAATTATTAAAATTATTAATTATTAAAATTATTAATTATTAAATTATTAATTATTAAAATTATTAATTATTAATAATGAGGAATGTGCTTTAAACTAATTTTTCTATTAATAAGTTAGACGTGTTATTTTATAGGTGTGGTAATGGTGTATGGCTTTTTGAAATGAATTCAGACTTTCCGAATGTGTCATCATATAATAGTTTTTTTTTTTTTAAGGTTAATTGGGAAAAGTTCATTATTATTACTTA